AGCGTGATGCGTCGCGGGTGCGTGATGCGTCGCGGGTGCGTGATGCGTCGCGGGTGCGTGATGCGTCGCGGGTGCGTGACGCGTTGCGGGCACGTGATGCGTCGCCAAGTCGGGAGATGGCTCACGGTCGCGAAGCTTCATGCAATCGTGAGATACCGCCAAGACATAGTCAAGACATAGCCAGAGCATCATGTTCAAACGCTACGCCAGCAACAATGGTGAGTCCTTTTCATTCTAACAAAGAATTAGATGCTAATACTAACGTTATAGTTTCGGTTTTTAAAGAGCTCATGCAGACCATGAAAGCAGATGGGGGAAATGAACGTTTTCCGGTTTTGAATGTGATACCGGAATTTGACCCTAGTAAACGAACTCAAACAGTAGAAACATGGATAAATAAAGTAAACGAGTGTTCTCAAATATATAATTGGACCGAAAGACAAACACTCCACTACGCTCTTCCTAAATTAGCGGGGTTGGCTCAGAAATGGTATCAAGGCCTACCTAGCATGTTGTTTTCATGGTCTGAATGGCAGAACAAATTAAAATTGGCATTTCCAAGTGACCAAAACTATGGTCAACTATTAACGGAAATGCTAGCTTGCAGGGCTGAATTTGGCGAGTCCTTAGAAGAATACTTCTATCAAAAGGTTGTCTTGTTAAATAGGTGTAATATACACGGTAAAAACGCAATAGACTGTATTTTGTTTGGGATTGAAGATAGGTCTGTCAGAACAAGTGCAGAAGCCACACAATTCACAGAACCTGATAAATTATTAGTTTACCTCAGAAATATTAGAACTACTAAGAAGTATAACAAGCCAAATTCGTCCCTGCGGGTGGGCAACGCAGAAAACAAACAATCTAAGACATTAAAAGGACCTCAAAATGAGCATGACGGAAACAATAGAAACTATAGGTTGACAAAATGCTATAATTGCGGTGAAGAGGGGCACCCATATTTCAAATGTAAACTACCAATCAAGCGTTGCGACAAATGTCGTCAAGTAGGGCACTTAGCAGGCGGATGTCCATGCACCAAAGAATCTAGTACTAATAATAAAACAGTTTTAAGAATCGCATCAGAGCCCGATAGTGACTCTAAATATTTTAAAACTGCCGTTGTAAATGGTATGACTTTAGATTGTTTTATAGATTTCGGAAGTCAATGTTCCATGCTGCAAGAATCTGTGGCTAAGAATTTAGTTAGCTCATGGTCTATATCAGAACTACCTGTATTAAGAGGTTTTGGGGATAGTGTTGTAAGTTGCTTAGGTAAATGCAGTGTTGAGATAAAAATAGATTCAGTCATTGCTATGGTAGAAACACTTATAGTGCCTGATAAACTATTACAAGTTCCTTTACTCTTAGGACAAACATTCACGGAACAAGAACATGTTGTCGTCGTAAAGACTAACAACCAGCTTAAAATAACTACGAACATAACTAATAACGTATTAGTATATGTTAATGACTCACTCACCATACATGGGTATACCCTAGTGAGTATTTATACAAAACCGAGTTTTACTGGTGACTTATTTGTTGAACCTTCCTTTTGTCAGGATACTCATAAACAATACGAGATCATTCAAAGTGTAATACAAGTAAATGATGGGCAGGGAACGATTGTTGTCAAAGGCTTAAATTCTGGATTCAAATTGCTGAAAGATACTTTATTGCTTCGGGCTCTTCCATTAAGTGAAGCACAGGCACTAAACATTGGCAGAATAGAACATTGTCCAAATAATACAGTAACACCCCAAATTAAACTCTCATTAGTACAGGTTGATGACGATATTGGATCTGAACATAAGACCAGATTAATGGAACTGCTTAATGAGTTTAGGGACTGTTTTGCTTTTTCGGCTAAAGAACTAGGTTGTATAAGTGGTACAGAAATGAATATAAACCTTAGCGATACCACCCCTGTAGTATACAGACCTTATAGATTGTCGTATTCGGAAAGGCATGTAGTTCGCGACATGATACAAGAATTAACTGATTCAGGAATAATTAGGCAGTCGTCGTCAAATTACGCATCCCCAATCGTATTAGTACGCAAAAAGAACGG